CTGAAGCATTTCCAAAGTAAATTTTACTAACAAAATGAAAAAAAAACTGAAAAATTTTTTCAAAAAAAAAAATAAAAGTACAAAAACAATCTTTTTTTTTTTTTGAAATGGAGTTTTGCTCTTGTGCAGTGGTGCTATCTCCGCTCACCGCAACCTCCACCTTCGGGGTTCAAGCGATTCTCCTGCTTCAGCCTCCCAAGTAGCTGGGATTACAGGCATGCACCACCATACCTGGCCAATTTTCTATTTTTAGTAGAGATGGGGTTTCACTGTGTTGGCCAGGCTGGTCTCGAACTCCTGATCCCAGGTGATCCACCCACCTCGGCCTCCTAAAGTGTTGGGATTACAGGCATGAGCCACCACGCCCAGCCTAAACATTTCTTTAAGTGATTTATTCATGTATTCATTCATTTAACAAACATTTATTGAGCCTCTGCAATATTCCAGACCCTGGGTTAGAAAGAGGAGATATCAAGATGAGCACAAACAGGAATCTAGTTGAGAGACACACATGGCAAAGCATGGTCATATTAGCTCCCATCCTGGGTTACAGGAGCGGGACAAACGCAATAGTTAATGCCACCTGGAGAAAGAGCTGGCTTTAAGAGCCTATGACATCTTGTCTGAGGCTGAAAGAATGGAATATACATATTCCCACAGGTAGTGATGGAGAGTTTTCCAGCCAATAACCTCAAAGGCCCAGGGGTAATGCTCCAGGGCAAGGTGAGTGTATGTCTGAGTTTGGTAAAGGGTGAAGTCTACATAGAGATGAACAAAAAAAGATGTGGGACTGACAGGTACAAAGGCACTAATCATGAGTTTTCTGTGGGCCAGATTTTATCTCAAGGTAGCAGGATGCTGCTGAAAGGAGCACAATGTGGTCAGATTTGCCTCTCACAAGAGCAATCCTCATAACACAATGTTATGACTGATGGATTGGAAAGAGGTTTTGAGCAAATAAATAAGAAGATATTATACCAAAATGTATTCACAAACACCTGAACAAGAAATGGTGATTTGCAACAAGGCCGTGATCGTGCGTTGAACTAACTAAGCTTGACAATATGTGTCTGGAATTCAGGATAGAAACTTGAGCCTGAGACAAACATGTGGGAATCACCAGGAAATAAATAATAGTTGGAAGAAGAAAGTGAATGTCACCACTGTATTGCAGTAAAGGAGAGAGAAAAACCGTGGCTCCGAGCACTGGCATCTCCTAGGCAGTTGGGTCAAGTAACACTAAAGAAGAAATTGCTTTCTGAGAGGTCAGAAAAAAAAATAAGAGGAGATCACAGAAGCCAAGGAATAAAAATACACTGGTCAAATGATGCAAATGAATGGAATTATTATTTGGAATCAAAGTATTCCTTGGATGCAGACATTATGAAAATTAAAGCGTTTAGTGTGAGACATTTCACAGGATGGTCAGAACCTTTTATATAAGCATTAGCCCAGATTTTACTCTCTTATCTCAGACTCCATAGACCTTGGGAATTTCTGTATTTATGATCTTATTTGTATTTCATCTTCTCTTCAAGAGAGAGCAGATAATTTCACAGTAGCCCAAGGAGCACCCTTTAGCAGGTGAGAGAAGATAACTACTGTACGTGGTTGACTGCCTCTCTTGGAAGAAACAAACCATTGTCCCCTGAGAGTGCCAGAGTTGTTTCCCAGTAAAATTCTACCACTTGACTCTTCTGACGGCCAGAAGTTGATTCGCTCATATCCCCTTTCAGCAAGAGAACTAATAAATTGCCCTCAGTTTTGCTCTGGGCATATTTTTTCCGAGATTAGTTTCTCCCTTAACTGCAAGAAACTTAAAAACTCTTTCTCTAGCTAAAATATTGGCTTAATGTTGGCCATCTAGTACAGTGGTCCGCATCATATTTGACATCAGGGACCGGTTTTGTAGAAGACAATTTTTCCATTGACAGGCGTGTTGGGGAGGGGGATGGTTTCAGGATGAAACTGTTCCATCTCAGATCATCAGGCATCGGTTAGATTCTCAAAAGGAGTGCGCAATCTAGATCCTAGATCCCTGGAATGTGCAGTTCACAATAGGGTTCCCACTCCTATGAGAATCCAATGCCCCTCTGATAGGACAGGAAGCGGATCTCAGGCGGTAATGCTCGCTTGCCCACTGCTCACCTCCTGCTGTGCAGCCCAGTTGCTAACAGGCCACGGCTGGGTGCTGGTCTGTGGTCCCAGGGTTGGAGACCCCAGATCTAGTAGGTTTCTGATCAGTGATGACTTTTATTGGTTTCTCTGAATATCTTAGACATATACACATTAGTATCACATAGGAAACGTTCAATATTTCAGCCAGTGTGTAGCCATTTGAATTTCTGAATTCTTATTGCTTTCCACTACTAGAAACACTATATCATTTCCCCTGATTTTTTTTTCTTTATTATTGACCTCCTGCCCATTCTCACTTTGACTCTTCTGGTTGTAGCAATCCCATTCTGTCCTACTTCTGTATTCTACTGACCCAGCCAAGCTAAATGCACCCTGACATTTTCAAACTTACTTCTGAATCAGGCCTCTGACCTATATTACTTTCACAAATGATATGCCCTTTTTCCCTCTTAAATTAATAATTTTAAGACAAGTCATAGAAGACATACTATGCTTTATAAATTAAAGGCTCCCCTCACCTCACATGATGAAAATATTTTTACCTACAACTTTTAAAACTCAAAAGTCATGCCTGTAATTCCAGTGCTTTGGGAGGCAAAAGCAGAAGGATCACTTGAGGCCAGGAGTTCAAAACCAACTTGAGTAACATGGTGAAACCCCGTCTCTACAAAAACATTTAAAAATAAAATTAGCTAGGCTTAATGGTGCATACCCGTAGTTCCACCAACTTAGGAGGCTGAGGCAGGGTGATTGCTACAGCCCATGAGTTTGAAGTTAAGTGAGCTACGCTGTACTCCAGCCTGGGCAACAGAGTGAGACCCTGTCTCTAAAACATTTAAAATAAAAATAAAAATAAGTCAAAACAATGCATGAAAGGCAAAAAAGTCACATATATTTTATATTATCCCAATAGTTTAACATTTTGTTGAAATTCATTTTTAGTTTTATTTCTAGTCAGAGATTTTAAAAACATTTGTTTTCAACACATATTGTAGATATAGTTTTGTATCATAACTTGCTCACTAAAGGTTTCTAAGTAGAAATACTAGCAAATAAATATGAGCAAAGTTAAGTGAAATTTTACTTCAATAGCAATACCTAGGTATTTATGACTCATCATAATTTTAAGTCCCTTTTTACGTATTTTTAATCAACTTTTTATTAAATTTTTAATTATAACCAGTGAACAGTTGTAAATGTTGTTAAAATTGGCTGCATAAAATGAACACTTTAAATATAACATCCAGAAAACAAATTATATTTGTCTTTATTAGCTTCTTGAACTCAACTTGCGATAATTCAGTATACAATATTTAATACAATGTTCAACATTTTCTACACATTTATTAAAGTGTTGTTTTAATTCTGATTGTAGAAGACCAGAAATCTTTATAATTATTTGTTTGTAATTTACCCAATTATGTATCAGAGCAGACCTTAGGAAAAGGAGAAACATTAGGCTAAAATATCAATGTTTCACTTTTCCATGAACAGTCTATATCATTTCCTCTTTTTTTTTTTTTTTTTTTTTTAATTGGGTCTCGCTCTTTCAACGGAGTGGAGTGGCAGTGGTGCAATCTCAGCTCACCACAACCTCTGCCTCCTGGGTTCAAGTGATTCTCCTGCCTCAGCCTCCCAAGTAGCTGGGACTACAGCCACGTGCTACCGTGCCTGGCTAATTTTTTGCATTTTTAACAGAGACAGGCTTCACTATGTTGGACAGGCTGTTCTCGAACTCCTGACCTCATGATCCGCCCACCTTGACTTCCCAAAGTGCTGGGATTACAGGCATACACCACTGTGCCTGGTGGTCTGTATCAGTTTCTGTAAATTTTGCTGCTCCCAAGTTTTTGACCCTCATTTATCTTATGGTCTAAAAATACTTTCAAAAGTAGTAAAAAAAAAAAATTCAGTCAGCTCCTCTTCATATTGGCTTTGTTATAGCCAATGATTCTCTGCTCCTCAGGTAAAACAAAGCAGTCTACCAAATCTTTCTAAAGTAGCAATGCCTAGTCCATAATGTCTACTCTTTAAGTAGTATTTCCATAATTATTATGTCTTGACATAACCTAATCATTTACAGTTATGAATATCAAATATCTCCTAAGTCAACTGATTTGTCTCAATGAATTTATTAAAAATAAAGATGCATTTGTTAAAAATCCCTATTATTCCAATATACCATTTAAAACATTTTCTTCTAAAATATTTAGCTCTTATAGTAAAAATCCTGCCTGGAAGACCTAGAAATGTCCTGCTGTAGCTGAAATACTAAATCAAAACTTAACTGTTGTTGAAAAATAACAAACATGCCCCATTTTATTTTAAATGAACTACAAATGTCTCCAATATATAAATAATGGGAACCTGAAAAATGGAAAATATTTCTGAATCTAATAACTCCTTTTTGAAAGTAAGTGACATGATTAAACATCACTTTTCTACATATGTGGTGTGACATTTTCATTTTGTTCCAAGGTATTTTACTTTTTGTGTGACTCTTGAGTTTGTAAACATGCCATAATATTTGGTGATTATGTAATGATGATTTCATGGTTCTAGCTTAGTATAAAGGTAGCTCGACAGAGCAGGAAAATCGATTTCCTTTTTTCCTTTGTGGAAAGAGACAAAGGAAATTGAATGCAAAATTTCCATTAAGACCATAATAGAAATATGACTCAACAATCTGTTAACACATGAAGTGGAAACCAGGTGTATCCAAGTGTTCGTTATTGTGCTATTATATTCAGCCAATGGGTTAAATTCAAACAACCTTTGTTTAACCCATGCCATGTTGTTACCCACAGTGTTCCAAATGCCTGTGACCTGACACTATCTCTTGTTGTCTCCTCTTACCAAAGGTACTCAGAGGCAGGACTGTCCCTAGGCAAAATCGTGAAGTAGGTGAATCTTGTATTCATTCCCTACCCTTTTGCAATGACAATCTCACCTTAGATTCTCTCCACCTCCCTTTCCCAAGGTACCTATTCTAGTTACTCATTCCTCTGGATTTACCCTCTGTTTTCCAGGGAGCTCATGCTAACTCCTGTTGCCCAATTACTCTTTGAGTGTATAATGTCCCTGCTCAGAAATACTCAGTAGCTCCCCAAGAGGAGCTGGGCAATCAAGATCCTCCATCCTTACCTTTTGAGTCTTATTTCCCACTCTCCCTTCCACATGTTCTACTGAAAATAGCTCACTCGCCTCTCCATTTTTATTTACACACTTTTTTTCCATCTATTTCTTTTGCCTGAGCTGACCTTGACCGCTCCTCTCCATCTGTGGAAATCCTAGTCCTCCTTCAGGGCTCTGCTCAGCTGTACCTCCCTACATGCCTTATCTGATCACCCCCAGCCTCTCTCATCTGCACCCCATCCATCCACTCATATAGCACTTAACACATATTGCTTTGTATTATAATATTTATGTATGTGTCTTGTCTCCAGGCACTGTGCTGGGCGCTTTACAAACGTAATCTCTTTTAAATTTCACAACAATCTGATGAGGTAGGTATTATTAAACCATTTAGCAGTTGAAGAAACTGAGGCTCAAATAGGTTAAATAATTTGCCCAAAGTCACACTGCTGCAAAGTAACAGAGCTAGAACTTGAACTCAGGTCTGTCTGATTTCAAAACATATGATTTCCACTGCATCCTACTGATGTCAATTCCTTTCCATCTTCTGAATGATAGGATGGGGGTTTAAGATGAAGAAAGAGGTCAACTTAGATTTTTTGCTTAACAAATGTATGTAGAACAAAGATATTTTATTGACAATTACTCTATTCCTAGCTAGAATTGATCAGTTAGCTAGAATCCATGAGAAATTCAAGTAAAATGCAAGAAAATATTTTTATCTTAAGCAACCAGAACAAATAAGCATGATAAAAAGAGAATGTTCAAGATATTTTATAATTCAAGAGGGACTAGATAGCATTGGTCTCTCTGAATGCTATAGGAAAATAAGTACCAGGAAAAAGAAGTAAATGTGGGGTTGACTAGGGAAGGCTTCCCATAAGTCCCCAGGACCTACACAATTTGAGATAATTAGTAGACTGAAGATGTGACTATTATCCTAAATCTCTCATGCACTAATAGTACCTCTATTAAATGTAAAGCCCACCTGATTTAATCTGCCTGTAGTGCCGCATCTTGGATAAATTAGGGGTGAGAAGCTTAGTGTTCCTAAGAGGGAAATCTAATTCCAAATAGACTGCTTTTTACAACTGCCCTTCCCAGTACCTGAGAGCAGGGAGTTTCAACTAAGCCCTAGACAGCTCCATTCTATGCTCCCTGTACAGCCAACTTCTAGCCAGTCATGTGGCAGAGCCTTCATCCCTGGGAAGAATTTAAACTTAGAATCTCTGTTCTTTTTGACACCACTATCTTTTTGCCTCTCCCATGGTAAAAAACTACAACCTTTTTTTCATTTCTGCTGTTATATTCTCTTCTCATTTCTCAGTCCCCCAGCTTTGTCGTATTACCAGTTGCATGTTTCTTTAACGTGAATAAGATCCTTAAATTTAAAGAGGTCATGCAGTTATCATTAAACGTGTGTTCTCAGTGCACCTCTGTTAACTTCTGACAGTCATTTCGATTCTATTTACAAATTCTGTTTCAATTTACGTATGCTCCCTTATACCAGTTCCATTCATAGATGGCTCTACACTATTGTTCCTCATACCAATCTTCATCATAATTTAAAATTTATTATTTATGGAAACAATGCATGTACTCTAAGCTAGAAAGCATCGGGTTGTACTGTATATCAGGCCCCGTGTTAGAAGCTTGAGAATTTTCATGTCAACTGTAAGCTAAATTTAAGGAATTCAATGAGCCCAACAAGAAAACCATCCTCAACCACAATGGAAAAATTAAACAACTCAAACGGGAAAGATATTTTGCTTTCTTTAAAATGTCTATGGTTTCTTATCCTCTACAAAAGTCTTCATAGCTCTTTCACTTTATTTTCTAACTTTTTATTTTGAAGAATTTATAGACTCACGGGCAGTTACAAAATAAATGTACAGTGAGGTCCTGTTTATCTTTTACCAAGTTTCTCCCAATTGTTTTATTTTAAGTAGTTATAGTACACAATCAAAGCCAGGACATTGACGTTGGTCTAATTCAGTTTTAAATTTGAAAAAAGAAAAAAAAATCCACCCTAAAGATATCGTGGGCTGTTTTAAATTACATTCAACATTGTAAGCTTTGTAAGTATTAACCATGCGGACCGTCCTGGTAAACAAAGGATGGTATGCCCATATGGCCAAAGAGAAAGTGTCCCCTTGTTGTCAGCTGTGATACTCAGGTCTAATTTAATTGGGCCAGTGTCATAGCCAATGAATGGAAAGGAGCCCTATCGGAAGACTTGGGTTGAAATCTGGCTCTGCCTCCAAATGTGTGACTTTGAGCAAGTCATTTGACCTTTCCAAGCTTCAGTGTCTTCAGCTATACAATGGAGAAAGTATTCCTCCTGCCTACTTCATAGGATTGTTGTGAGGATCAAATGTGAGGATGTACATGAAGGAACAAGGTAGACAGTGAATCAGCACTCATGAAATTTATATTCTTTTCAGGAACTATGTCCAGCTATAGAAGTGTGCTTTTTCAGAGGTGGTCTTATTCCTAAAAACAAAACAAAACTACCTCCTTATTAACCATGTGTTCTAGAATTTCCATCATATGTAAATAACCTACCCTTTCTATCACTCTTATTAAGATAAGAAATAGCAATATATCAAACAAGCACTCTGGAATCATTACCTACAAACCCCTTAAGCATATGATCTATTTTTAAATAAATACTTTTTAAACATTTTCTCCTTTAAGATTAAATGCATTTTAAGTAGCTTTTATATTTTTCCTAACTGCAGGATTCACTCTTACTTTTTTATCATGCCATGAGATGTACAATAAGTGTTCTGACAATAGTGTGAAATTATAAGAATGTGAGGTTAGACAGTGGATGTTTTAAGAAGTAAAAATGGAAATCACCCAAGCTGCCTTGTTTCTTGGTATGTCTGGATATATAATATAAACTCCCAACTCACTTGTATATTCTGGTTTGTGGATAGTAAAACTGCTAGTCTTGGCAGTAAGAGTAGAGATATATATAGGAGAAAATAAACTTAAATCATGGAAAGCAATGATAAGAGTCTTTGTGTGTACTAAATATTTTGGGCACCACAATAAAAATGTTAAGATCTGTTTTCTTCCCTCTTCATCCTTTATACAGGCTGGCATGGCTTTGACCTATGACCCCACAGCTGCCATACAGAATGGGTAAGTAGATCATATTTTCTCTATTTTGATTGTGAATAGATCTTTGAGCTCTGAATCAATACCAAAGAGAAATGTTCAAATTTGTTTTGCTTTTGTTTTACATCCTTAAACACAAACTTTAAACCAAGCATTTTTCATCGTAATTTTTTTCTTCCTCTAAGTTATTCTAATCTCATAGTCTCACAATGCCTCTGTCCACATTAAACTCTGTTCCTTCTCTTTCTCTCTCTCTCTCTCTGTCTCTCTCTTTTTCTCTGTCTTCAGGGAGGAGGTAAAGCTAGGCTGAGAGAAGAATATATCTAGAGTTAAGCTTTCAAACACTTTTTGGTGTGTACCCAGGTCAATTTATTTTTTCTTTCTGGTGATCAGAGGAATGGTAATGGAGAAAAGTCAAGTTAGTAACTGAGGTGATTACATCTTCATTTTAATAGGCATCTGGAAATTCACATCCACTTACTTAGAACAAGTCATATAGCTTAAATTTCCTCCTCTGAAAAATAAGTGTGAAACAACATGGTATATCATCTCTAAAATTCTGTAACTTCTAAATATCTTTCATTGAAACTTTCTTCTTCCTAATCTCTTTGCTGAGGCTGTTTGCAATTGACAATAATAATTCTTTGGTTGGTTCCTTATTTCTTTTTACTCTCTTTTATTTTGGGAATTCTCCATGGCTTTCAGTTATCTTTCAGTTTCATTAATGAATCAATCATGATAAAGGCCTCACTGAAGATCAACAAAAAGGGTAGAATGAATTAAACTTCATGTTCTATTTGTTCTATGTGGTCACTTGCCTCTAAGAAAAATCTGTAGGATATTGAAAGTATTTAAATAATTACCTGTTATTCTGGTATCATTCATTCAGGCAGTCATATATTCAGTCATTCAACAAACATCCAGTAATTATCCCAAGCACAATGCTATGTTCTATAGATTTAAGAAAACAATGTATGATATGAGGCCCTTTCCTTCAAGAGGCTCACAGTCTACTTGTCCATGAAAAAGTAAACATTAATGGTAGACCAGGGTAGGAGTCTAATCCTTTGTCCTTGAGTTGGTTAAAATTTCCCTCTAGAATTGAAAATTAAGGATATCTTTTCATATGTCCTACAGGCATTTACATATTTCCAACAAGGTGCTATAAACTTAGTGTGCAGAAAGAAGTAAAGACAAGGAGAAGAAAGTCCTCTAGAATCAGATTGTATAGTTGGAGATAAATAACTCAAAAAGTAACAAATAAGGCATTGTATATTAAGTGGTAGTGAATGAAAATAGATGTTATAATGAAAAGGAATGACATTTATTGAACACATATTCTGTGAAAAGTACCTCATATTTATAATTTAATGAGACTTGGATTCAAATGAATACATGTGATTAAAATTAGAAATTTATATTGGAAATTTACGCAAAGGAAAATAGAAACAATCAAAGGATACCTGTATGTCGACTAACTAGATTCAATAAGTATTTTATAATATTTTACATGCATGCATATGTATGTGTTATGTATATATATGTACATATATATATGTGTCTCCTAACTATAGTATGTATTATGTATCTATCTATCTATCTATGGTATATATATATATGTATCTACATGTAAAGTGTACTTAGTTGCCCAAGGGTCTATATCAAGGATTGGAGATGCAGCGGTGACCAAGACATAACTTTTTTTTGCATTTATTAAGCTTCAATTGTTAAAGATAGAAATAAAATAACCTTTAACTTTTATACATAATCGTATAGTCAATTATTAAATTACAATTGTGTTAAGCATTTTTCATTAGAACTATAGATACTTTTTGCTGGACCATATCAAAGTAAAATTTAAACATCATAATATTTCTAACTTCTTACATCTTCAAAAATAAAGACATTAGTCACATGATGACAATATCATTATCACACAAAATGAAATCAGTTCTAATTTCAAAATATCGTCTATTATCCAGATTATTTTTCAACTTTTTTCAGTTGCCCCAAAATGTATTTTACAGCTGGATGACTCTGAAGCAAAATCTAAAAGTCACATCAAAATATCTTATATGGATTATTTCATTTGCTTAATAAACTCCTTTTGGGTGAGTGTTAATGTCCCATTTACAGATAAGAAAATGAGGCCTTGCAGTCAGAGGTAGAGCAGGGAATCAAACGCCAGTCTGTAACACTAAATAGAGCCTGCTGTCTTTGTCCAGGTAGGACAAAGGGAAGGCTATATCTATATGGAAATGATGAGATTTGACATAGATTATCCAGAATGACTTAGTTTATCAAGGCTAGACATAGGGAAAGATGCTTATTGAGAAAGTGGACTGGTAGGAACGGAAGTGGAGTTTGTAGGGATTAACAACAAGTTTTACTGGGGTGAAAGTTTCTTGTGGAGGAGTTTTGTAAGTTTAAAAGTTTTCTTGGTGCCGGATTTAGAATTTTAAGTGTTTGGTTTTTACTTCATAAGGCTGGGGAGTAATTATTGTTTTTATTTAGCAACAGAATGGTATGATATAAATAATAAAGAATATATTGGAGCAGGAAGAGCCTCTTAGTAGGAAGCATCACTAAGGGGATATTTAAATAGTCCAGTTATAAAAGTGTAAGAGTTTGTTCTGGAGTGGCCAATGTGTGAATGGAAGAAAGAAACCAAAAGGAGAGACAACCTGAAAAAGCTTTTCAATCATGCATTAAGCAAGTGGCCATCAAACAATCCTATGTTCAAGGTTCTCCATCAAGGGCTGGGGACATACTGGTGAATAAGACACACCCAGTCTTTACTCTTCTACACTGTAGCAGGAAATCAACATTAAAAGCATTTTATGACTTATATACCATAAGCACCCAGTGGTGAAATGCAGGGTGTTATAAAGCGTATAGTCTTGCTTGAGTGGTTAAAACTTCTCTAAACAAGTGATGCCTTTAGCTGAGCTCTGACAACATTTAATGAAAACTGGATGTTATATCAGATGGCAAAAGAGATAAGCAAAAGGGACCCTGAAGATTGCATCCTAGAAGGACCGGTGTACCATCAGCAGAAAGACAAGGAAATAAAGGGAAGACAGATGATGATATGGCTAGGCTTTGTGTCCCAACCCAAGTCTCATCTTGAATTGTAATCCTCATAATACCGGCGTGTCCAGAAAGAGAGCAGGTGGAGGTAATTGAATCATGGGGTGATTTTTCCCCATGCTGTTCTCATGCTAGTGAGTTCTCACAAGATCTGATGGATTTCTAAGGGGCCCATCGCCCTTTGCTTGGCACTCACTCCTTCCTGCTGCCTGGTGAAGAAGGTGTCTTGGTTCCCCTTCACCTTCCAGCCGTGGTGAACTATGAGTCAGTTAAACCTATTTCCTTTATAAATTACCCAGTCCCAGGCAGTTCTTTATAGCAGTATGAAAACAGACTAATATAGATGATATACTCAATTTCAAACATACATGAATAATGTCTCACTAAGACTCACTAAGTCACACTGAGACAAACTAAGACTCATTAAGACAAAAAGATCCAAGTCAGCGGTAAATTTGAACTGAAGGTAGGAAATGATAACTTCTTATGCATGACTTTAGTCAGTCATTCTCCAATGCACAATCTAAAATTCTGCAAAGACAAAATTTCCCAAATACTCACCTTCAGTTATTACAAATTTACAGGAAAAATAAATCGAGGTTTCAACTCCTAATCTGAGAAATCAAAGGTGAACTTTGGGCTATGCAATGTTCAAGGCAGTGCAGACAGCCTAGAGCACAGTGAAAATTTCTTTTTTCCTCAATGTCTTCACCTCACATTTCAGGTTGCCACCTGGACCGTATTGAGGCCACTGTAGGTACATCTGTCAACCTTAAATCACCTGAAATATAAAATGTCTTTATCTATACCTTATATTAACAATGTAACACTGTATCCCTAAACTATTAGTCCATTGAAATTGGGCATATTATCTTTCCTCACTTTATTTTCTTGTCTTCCTGCTAATGGTAGCACCATTCCCTCTCTTCAGTACTTCCTGTCCACCAAATATTCCTGCCCACTGTTACTAATCTTTCTCAGGGTTTGATCTTTTCTCACTTTCTTTCTTCTCTCTAGTTGTTCTCGTCTACCTCTCTTGCTTTCAGGAAAGTAGGACTCCCAAGTCTATACTTCAAGTGTGTAACTAGCTTCAGAAATGGATGACCTGTTTTCTAGCTTATTAGGTATTGCTGCTAGATATCTTTGATCCAAACCGAGGTCATTATCCTCATTAATACTTCGTAATACAAACTACACAAATTCAAACCAAACGCACATATCAAATTTTGTTTTCCTTTGTTTTAAGTTCTCTCTAAAGCATTTAGGCTACAATCTCCACTCCTCTAGACTCTCTCTTATCCTACGTCCTTCACAATCAAACTGGTCATTAAGATTTGTGCAATCAATGTCTGATGTGTATCTTCAACCCAGCTCTTCCTCCTTGCCACTGGTTAAATTTATTCAATTACCATTTCCTGCCTATACTAAGCTTTTTACTACCTTTAATATACCTCCTTCCGCAAACAATTTTCACATTCATTTTGAATGACTTTTAAGCAAATATAATTACAGAAATCACCTACCTCCCTGGTTTAAAGTATAAAATGGCCTGTACTAATTACAGAAAAACATGCAAACTTCTTCAGATAGTACGAAGAGAACTTCATAATTTGGTTACTGCAACTGAACTGGACTGTGATTATCAGAACCTCTCATGCTACTTTGCCCCTCTGTGTCTTGTCGAACATGGAATTCTCTCTGCTTGAGTTCTCATGTGGTAAAACTCACTCCCCACGATCCCACCACCACACACACATATACATGCACACACACATACTTTTTAAAAATACTATTTTCATTTCAAAAACATCATCAAATCATACCAGGAAGAGCTAGTTATACTATTGGTCACAAGAAAAACAGCTTAAGCAATGGTTAAGAGTGAAAACTTCAGAACCGCCCTGCCCAGGAATGATCCAAACTCTGTCATTTAC